AAGATATGTTATGAATAATTAATAAGCACTACGACGTTGTGTTCCATGACAAAAAAAACATAAATCTAAAACACGGAAACGTAAAAAAAGAGGATTTATCCAAGTCCGTTCCGTTCCGCATTTTATCTCCATATCCGTTCCGTGGATCCGCTCCGTTTCGCATCCGCTTCCGCATTTTAACCTAGTTGTGACGTGTCACAATAACAAGCTCACTGACCTTTGAGTTATTTGAAGGTCACGTTGTGTTCATGATTCATTTTCAGCTTTTCGCATGTAATCAATATTTCAATGGTTTCACAGTTATAGCAGTGTTTGTAGCAGTTTTGACAAGCTTTGATACAGATAGATTCTCGTAAGATCTGGTAGAGTTCTCGTTGCACTGAAGTCTGAACACGAGTTTGCACCGTTGACGTTGTGCTAGACACGTAAACCAAGATTTTCTCAATATTTATGTTTGAAATGTTTATACATTTGAAAGCAACACTGTCTCGCTGCTTCCTAGCTCTGTACAATGAATATACCGTCAAACTAATATCGGCACTTGAATGCATTACGTGCATAACATCAATTTACATATTGCGTAGTATCTCAAAGAAAATCTCAATATAATACACGTCTGAAATGTTTATACATTTCGAAACAACACTTGTCTCGCTGCTTCGCCTAGCTCTGTACAATGAATATACCGTCAAACTAAGTAATATCGGTACTTAATTGAATGCCCGTAATGCAAAACATCGATTTTATATATTGCGTAGTATCTCAAAGATTTTCTCAATATAATTTAGACGTCTGAAATGTTTATACATTTGAAAACAACACTGTCTCGCTGCTTCCTAGCTCTGTACAATAAATATACCCTCCAAATAATATCGGCACTTGAATGCCCGTAAATCGTAATGCATAAGTACATAACATCAATTTATATATTGCGTAGTATCTCAAAGATTTTCTCAATATAATACTGACACGTCTGAAATGTTTATAATTATACATTTGAAAACAACACTGTCTCGCTGCTTCCCATCTCTGTACAATGAATATATACCGTCAAACTAATATCGACACTTGAATGCCCGTAATGTATAACATCAATTTATATATTGCGTTGCGTTGTATCTCAAAGATTTTCGCAATATAATATACGTCTGAAATGTTTATATATACATTTGAAAACAACACTGTCTCGCTGCTTCCTAGCTCTGCACAATGAATATACCCTCAAAATAATATCGATCTTTAATTGAATGTCCGTAATGCATAACATCGATTTATATATTGCGTAGATTCTCAAAGATTTACTCAATATTCACATCTAAAATGTTTATAATTTGAAAACAACACTGTGTCGCTCCAGCGCTCCTTCCTAGCATCATCACGCCATCGTTATATACGGCTTGATAGCGCATGTGCATTTGTGTTGCTAAAGAAAAAAATGGGTTTTCCGGGGGAAAGATCCTTCACACAACGTGAGAAGCGAATGTTATAAAATTTACAAAAATTTACAATAACGACAACGATTCCTCGAAATTTTTGTGAACTTGGCAAAAGAACAAAAAATATGTAAATAAAACAACTGAAATTGCCTAAATAACCTTAAAAGCACAATAAATCACTACAAACATAAATCGTATACATATAATACACCCCCCGGAAAGTTAACTCTATGACTGATTGACTGACTGACTGATGTGAATTTTCCCAGTCATCACAATAGTGCACAGTTTCAAAGAAACTCTGCACTAAAAATTAAGAGTGTTTTTGTAGAGTCAAACAGGCAGCATTCGTCTAACATGCGAATGAAGATGAATTAAAATCAGACAACTATACATTGCAAGAATAAAACGGTCACAGAGGTAAAATTAGATACCCCAACCATGCACCAACACCATAAAAATGATTAGAAAAAAAATTTACAAACCTGTACACCATTAGCTCTTCGAACACCGCTCACAACTATATAACCTAAGCAATCGTTCACAAAAACGAATTAGATAATTGTTGACTAATGTATACAATCGCTCAAAAGAGCATCGAAAAATGCATAATGGTCCATTGGTATGTGCTTATAGCCCAGGAAAATAAGAAATCAAATCATAAGTCTAACATGACTATGCAGTAAGTGACCTTACGTACCTAATTGTTCCTTAGTACGTAAAATATCAAAGCATGACTCTGCTATAATTTTACTGAACAATTCGAGAAGCATATTGCCTTCCAGAGTCTGTAGTTCACACTGAAAGGAACAAGTGGAGTAAGCCGGTGAGCTCTCTCTATATATCTGGAGTGAGAACTCCAGTTCAAAAAGTGAAGCCAAAGATGGAGCGTATTGGACGTCAGTTTCAGTCCCTTTCTATCGTTTTTGTCTGCACGGTCTGCAAGGAGTGGCCGAAATTTCGTATTTTGACTTCGATTCAAAGAATAGCGCTATGGTTTTATGACCTATAATAACTTGATTAGCGATACATTCCGTTGGAAAAAACTGGACTTAGCTGGGCAAAATGGTTTTAAAATTGTTCACAATCTAAATAGCTATTGGATGTCAATTCCACCAGCAGGCTTCGCTTTTCTTATAGACTAAATGACTGACGTTTTTGCTCCAGATATATTATTAGAGAGAGGTCACTGGCGTAAAAAAATATAGCTACGTTAATTATCCATAAAACAATAAGGCTATTTATCAATCAATCGACCACCTAACTCGACTATGAATCAATCAATCTATCTATCAATAAATTATAAAAGAATAATATTTCTAAAATATTTATTTTACCTGATAATATATTTCTAAACAACAGCTTTTATGGACTTCATTTTCAACTTCAAAAAGTAAATTTGCCCCTGAATATATATAAAGACAAAAATTACAAAACTAAATGATAACAAAATAACATGCACTTAAACAAGGCATGCATGAACTAACAATATTATTATCTTATAATACAGCACCATGATTAAAGGTGATCTACAGTCCGTATGTAAACAAAGCCTTTGTTTACATTTTTGTGTCCAAAATATTGAGCTTTATTCGACAACTATTTATATTTTCAAGCTTCTAGAGTATAATAAATGATCAAGAAACAACAATCAGGCTTTTCAAGAACTCAAAACATAGTTAAACTGTTTGTATCATAAAAAGTGGGCTCATTTGTGCACATGCGCAGATCGGACTGTAGATCACCTTTAAACTATCCCACAAATTTGTCTCACATGCAACCGCTTAAGAGTTAAGAGAAATCCTTACCATCAGGCAATTGTACTTCTCGATGTTTCGTTAGCTGCGAGGGCACTAATGGTTTGCTGCATGAATTTTGTTGAAACACACTCTCCACTTTACTTGCGATATCCAAGGCCTCCTAAAATAAAATTCAGTTGTCAAACAATGTTCACAAAAATTTCACAAGCTCTTTTTCAATTTCAAAACAAATCGCACAGTCTCTTGAATAGGAAAAACAAATTGGCTAACGAGCAGACAATGTTATAAATACTTCAATTACAGGTATTTCCCACAAAACATGTCAAAAGTTTACATTTTAAAATAAGTTTACATGAAATAACAAAAGTGTTTGGAAATGAAAATTTTTTCTCTAAGGATAGTTCTGTAATGGACTCGAACAATGCACATTCTCGCATGGATAAGTAGTCGCGAAATTATTTCGAGCAGTTATAAAATGACTAAAAACTCGCCTTCAATCCAATTCTTCACGCCATGCAATAGATATACAGTGTAGTGAACCATATACTCATTCCAATAACAACTGTGTTTCCTTTCCAGTTGATTATCATGCGTTGCATTGTCGCACTCAATGAAACTCATGTAGCTATTAAATTTATCATAGTATATATATATATATATATATATATATATATATATATATATATATATATATATATATATATATATATATATATATATATATATATATATATATATATATATATATATATATATATATATATATATATATATATACCGGGTGTCCCAAAAAAAAGTAATCCGGTTTGATTCGTAATAACTTCTAAACGAATAGAGCTTTTAAAGAGAAAAAACCTGCATCAAATAGAGGAAGGGCTAACTTAGATTTCGATATATTACAGTTGTATTTCAGTTCAAAATTCACGGAGATATCAATGTTTAAAATCGGGAGCATATTTCTGGATGTGTCTGAAATATGAAAAAAACGGCGTATCAAATATTAATCAAGATTTGCCCGACTGAGACATGCACTATTACCAGTAAATAAATGACACTTAACAAATTGTTTATTATGAAACAAAGTATTATTATCTACAAAATACAAGCAAGATTTATTCGTCCGAAATCCGCGTGTGTTCCTAGCACGAATACGTTTCCTTATTTCACGAGACCACTGCATCGCGAAGGATCGTCATGGATCGTTCGTGGTTCTGAATTATGGTATGCTGTCACAATGGAATTGTGAAGCTCTTCTAACTTCTGCAACGTTCTGAAATCTTGTTCAGAACATCCAAACTCTTTTGCCTTTTCTTAATCTTTGCAAGTTCAGAATAAACCGAGAATGAAACACAATCAAACCATACAACTCCATAAGACATAACAAGCAACTCCCCAGAGACATCCAACATTTTTGGAACAAAATGTAACAAAATAGTAGCGTTAATACTGTGATGTGTATTTGCAAAAAGCAATATTAGTTCCTTCATTAAAGAATAATATTCATCCTGCTCTAACCGAGAAATAATCAAGTCTGTTTTGAACCCATGAAAAACATAAAAACATTAGGCTATTTAAGAAAAATTTAAGCGCCTGCCTTGCATGATCTTTCATGTACCTTTAAGTTTGTAAAGACCTATTAAATACGTACTTTCATAATTTCCAACGTTCATATTTCAGGAAATTACACTGAGCTAAGACTTACATGTAAGATTTCTAAACCTACGTCATATGCCTTAGAAATCCTAACGACAATTCGCTGAAATACAAGTTAGCCTGATATCTCATTAAGCAAACAAACGCTGGAGTTAATATTTGATATGTCGATTTTCGCTAATTTTAGACACATCTCAAAATATGCTCCCGATTTTGAACATTAATATCTCCGTGAATTTTGTAGTAAAGTACAACTGTAATATATCAAAATCTAATTTAATCCTTTCTCTAATTAATGCAAGTTATTTCTGTTTGATAGCTTTATTTGTTTAGAAGTTATTATAAATCAAACCGGAGTAGTTTTTTTTGGGACACCCGGTATATTATATTATATTATATATATATATATATATATATATATATATATATATATATATATATATATATATATATATATATATATATATATATATATATATATATATTGCTATTCTGTCCTAAGTGTTTTGTCACTGCAGATTGTAACTGTTTTAAAAAGGAAAAATCTAGAACTGAAAAAAATATTTGATAGATGAAACAATTGGCTAACAACCTTAGTTATATATTCATGTGTATGGAAGAAGGGAAGACTAGACTCGTTACGGCTAGAATAAGCCAAATAATTTGCGAATATAATTAATCAGGAGGGGCTGAATTTTATTAGGATTTAACAGTCGCCCACAAACCAAAAATCCATTGAAATGATGTCGACTTACAATTATGGAGCTGAATTTGGACTTTGCAATATCATGGCCCTTTTAGGACTATTGAGCAGATTTGGTATTGAGAAAATATGGGTCCACCAAATCTTCCGATTGCAATACTGGTATATAGCATCTTCCAATAGCAGTACTAAGTGTATCACTGGAAAATTATTCTCATTTAAATATTATGTGAATATTTATTTGCATACTATGTAAATTAATTTACAATAAATTTACATATCATGTGAATCTATAATTACTGTAAATACCCTTGTCTTTAAATTTACATCTTTGCAATGATCATGTAAATTTATAGGCACGGAAACAAAAAGAAGCAATACGATGTACAATGTCTGTAAAAAGTTATTATGTAAAAATACTGTGAAGAGTTTAGAAATTACTTGACATTTTTGAAGCTGGATAGTGGGAAAACCATGTAAAGTTCAAACGGGGGCCCGACGATAAAAACCATGGAAAAACCATGGAAATTTATTGAGTAGCAGTCTTCATAAAGTATGCCAATGCCATGTAAATGAAAATTGGGGGCCCGATGATAAAAACTATGGAAATTTATGAGTAGCAGTCTTCATAAAGTATGTCAATACCATGTAAATGAAAAGTGGGGACCCGATGATAAAAAAACATGGAAAAACCATGGAAATTTATGAGTAGCAGTCTTCATAAAGTATGTCAATACCATGTAAATGAAAAGTGGGGACCCGATGATAAAAAAAACATGGAAAAACTATGGAAATTTATGAGTATCAGTCTTCATAAAGTATGTCAATACCATGTAAATAAAAGGTGGGGGCCCGATGATAAAAACCATGGAAAAACCATGGAAATTTATGAGTAGCAGTTTCATAAAGTATGTCAATACCATGTAAATGAAAAGTGGGGGCCCGATGATAAAAACCATGGAAAAAACTTGGAAATTTATGAGTATCAGTCTTCATAAAGTATGTCAACACCATGTAAATAAAAAGAGGGGGCCCGATGATAAAAACCATGGAAAAACCATGGAAATTTATGAGTAGCAGTTTTCATAAAGTATGTCAATAGTAGTAATACAGGGGCCGTTCGACCCTTATTTTTGTGGTGGCGTGTGGTGGTTTGTGGTGGCGTATCATCATTAGCATAGACTGTGGTGGCGCATCATTATATATGCAAGTAATTACTATGCAAGGGGGCCGCATCATTATATATGAAGGTAATTAAGGGGGCCGCACAAGTGAGGGTGCGTAGTGACGTCACTCGTTAGTATACGTCATAATTATATACAATGACGTCACTCGGGCGAGCTTAAACACGATCGGTTGAAACTTGCTGACCACGCATTTTTTAGCGTCCTCCCCACGTATATGGTACAATTACAGGGATTAATGTTGGTTTGCTATGAATAGCTCGAGTCCCTCACAAGGCAAAATTGTTATCGAAATTAATATATAGCAGTGTTATAGCCGTATCTTTGCTAGGAAGAGATAAATTTCCACGAGTATATTGAAGGATTTTCCGTATGTTTACAAAATTTAAGCGAGAAATCTATTCGTCACAAAAATCAAGACATATTTTAAACAGAACTAAACACTAAACAGTTGCTAATCCCAGGTTGTCAACGTCGTTGTTAAGGTCAATATTATTAATATATAGCAAAGTTATAGCCGTATCTTTGCTCGGAAGAGATAAATTTCCACGAGTATTTGAAGGATTTTTCGTATGTTCCATAGAGAGGAATTTATTCGTCACAAAAACCAAGAGATATTTTAAACTAAACAGTTCCTAATCCCGAGTTGTCAACGTCGTTGTTAATGTCAATATTTACATGTTAGAATTGGAACAGTTGTAATATATTTTGCGATAAAAACATGTAATCGTTAATACGTTGTTATGTGTCGCTAAGTCATTAGCGACGCTTGGGTGTATGCATATATTAACGTACAACATATTTGTACACTAATCTGGCGGGCGGAAAGAGCGGGCTTTGCCGGCAAAAAATTACACAATATTTCAGATTTTAAATACATTTATTTCTTCAAAACGTTTTACAAAATTATGCTTCTAATATATATCGTCACTTGTTTCAGGGGTTTCGCTATCAGATTCTTCATCATAGCTACTTTCATCATCGTGGCTGCTTTCATCTTCCGTAATCCATTTGGTATGTCTTGGGACTGTTATATGGGAACACAGTTTTAACTTCTTTGTAGTTGATAAATTACTTCGTTGGCCTTGCCTTCTCTTGCTTCCGCGCCCTGCTTGTTGTAGTAGGGCTTTTGCTCCTTGTTCGGCAAAGTCTTTAACAACGCCACCTCCGTGAGTCTTTACAGATTCTCTTACATTTTTTCCTTGGAGTATATCTTGACCGACTTCTGTGGCTGCTTGCAATGCTCTTTTACCAACAACTTTAGCACCTTGTTTGAACAGAGGAATAACATATCTCGCAAGGCTCTTGAAAATACCTCCGATCCCGTATCCTCTTTGAAAACGTGCACCACGATACCCAGCGATGTTTCCACCACGCTGCTGTCTCAAGAAATGGTCTCTCAGTAGTTTTTCGTCTACAACAAGTGTACCTCTCGGCATGTTGATGTGTTCAGTTCAACTTCACGCAGTCAACTAATCAAATATCACTTTGGTCGCTAAATCAGCTAGATCTTGTTTGAAAGGTTTGAGTTTGTCCTTTATTTCTTTAGGATATGTGAAATTTTCTATACAATGACACACGCATCGAATTTGCTCAGCTGATGAAGAATTAAGAAGAGTT